AGCATTGCCAGTATTTTAAGAAAATACCGTGTTCGGCTTACACCGAACACATTTTGTACGCTTCGGCTTTTGACATTAAACTTTGTATTTTTAGTAAAAACATGTAGCCTTTTGATGTTAATGTTAAAATATAATTAATTAAATGTTTAAAAAATATTTATTGTTAAAATGTTTCAATTTTAGGAGTACGCACACGAGACTTTGTTGGCGTCCGTACACGTACTGGCTAAAAATACAAAGTTTAATGTTAAATGCCGACGCGTACAAAATGTGTTCGGTGTAAACCGAACATCTTCCCGTACAGCAAAGGAGATAAAAAAATGTAAAATGATTTGAGATTAGATACGTATAAAACTTATTCTGCATCGCGTTTAAGAATGAGGGTTCACAATATAGGCGAAGTTGCTTGGTCTTGAGTGTTGAACGTGTTCGGGAGCGCAGGTGTCGACGCACGCTCGGCGCTGGCGGCGACGTGTTGCGTTCTTGGGTCGGGCTCTGCAGCGGCGCGCTGCGCTCTCAGGGCGGCCAACGCAGCTACAGGAGCGGAGCTTAGACATTCCGTAGTTGTGTTATCTAGGCTCATAGTTGAAGTGATGGCCGTGTTTCTTCTTTGCCGTAGTCGTTTACAGGCAAGGCATATAGCTGCTATCGCAACCACTCCCACCAGGATGTAAATCGCGGCGTAATGATGTATGTCATGGAATGTTATGTTCTTCTAAATTAATTGCAATGTAATCTGCAATCGGTTTGATGTTCACAGAATTGTTTGTCCGTTTATGAGGAATCGGTATGACTCGGTACAGGTAGTAATCATCTCGGCTGACTAAGGGTAGTCTTATTTCAAAAATCAAGTACTTATCAGTCAACCTTGTTTTCACTTAAAGAAATTTGTTTAAAAAAAATAATGGTGTTCGTTCTGTTTGACAAGTGTGATATCTCGCTCATATTTTTCTGCGAAATGGTCGTCGAGTACTGCGAAGAGACTGTTCGCGAGATACCCGACACCATTGATAAGCCCGCGCTTCTGTCTGTCGTGCTCGGTTTGTTTACCTAGCAACATGTGGTTGTAGTCTTCGAGTTCACTGGTACTATGACGTAACTGCGATAGGACCGCGTCTCAGTGACTGTCGCCCTTCATTGTTTCACATATGTTTTCCATGTGTTTTTGATATTTGTCAAGTGCTTCGGAGCCTTCCCAAAATGGTTGCACGTTGTAGTAAATTATGAGCTCCCAGTCGTCTCGAATAAGTTGGATGTTGGAAATGGCGTCGGAATACAAAAATTGATTAAGTTGCTGAATAGTATAAGCACCATGCGTAGGTACGATTATACCCAAGAAAAATAGCAATGCAGCACAAATTGATATCAGACTTGATTTAGCTGTTATCTTGTTTTTTCTGACTTCAGGTTCCTGGTTTCCTCGCAATGGCAGTATGGATAAATTGGTAACTGGCCGTTTTAAAATTCCGTGTTTTGTTTTCAAGGAGACAACTCGAACGAAACCATTTTTTCCTGGGTGTAAATCTATGACGACCTGTCAACCATTTTCAGCAGGTAAGTTATCGTCTTGAATTGTCACTAATTGACCGACTTGAATGTTAGATGTCGACTGCTTCCATTTGTTTCGAACGGTAAGTTGTGTGAGGTATTCCGATTTCCAGCGCTTCCATATATAAGCCATTAGTTTTTCTGTTAAGTTCCTTGTTTCTTGTTCGCGCGTCATGTTCTGTTTCCAGGATGGTTACATCAGCTGTTCTAGTTAAGAAATGCGAAGGTGTCAGGAAGTCGAGGTCCTCCACATCCTCAGTCAAAGCACACAGCGGCCTAGTATTAAGACACGCTTCTAGCTGAGTAAGTATCGTTGAGTACTCTTCGAATGTTAATTTTTGTTCCTCCGATAACACGTTTGATGTGATATTTAAGGCTCTTGACCGCAGCCTTCCAGAGTCCTCCCGCTGACGGCCAAGACGGAGCGTTGAAGTGGAATTCGATCTCCATTTTGGTAAGTTCAGTAAATAATTCTGGATCAGAAATATTTTCTTTAATCAGCTTTATGTTTTGTCCCAGAACACGGCTGGCACCGACGAAGTTAGTGCCGTTGTCGCAATTATTGTGACGCGGCGCGCCTCGACAAGCTGCCATACGACGCAGTGCGGCCAAAAATGCCGACGACGTGAGGTCAGACACGAGTTCGAAGGTGCACGGCCTTTGTAGCCATGCACACGAATACAGCTACATAGTTTTGTTTGTATGCCTCGACCCTTGCTTGCCTTGACGTCCACGTAACCCGTGTAGTCAACTCCAGTATGATGGGGGGGTTTGTCCTGGCTTCAGGCACATCACCCATGATCTGTGGTTGTGTGCTGGAAGCGTGACGACGGCAGGTTACACAGGTTCTTAATAACCTTTTAATTGTTCAATTTCCGCCAACAATCCAGTACTTTTGTCGAATGAACGCCGACGTCAATCGCGCGCCGCCGTGGAATCTTATGCGCGCTCTCAATCAGTAATTGTGTAAAACGGCTTTTGTTCGGCAAAATTATTGGATGTTTCATGTTATATGTGATATTTGCGATTTCTAATCTGCCATCTACTCTTAAGATGCCATTTCTGTCTATGAATGGATTCAACTTTGATAATGTGCTCTTTTTCGGTACTTTTTCATTTTACGTAATGCTATTCATTTAGTCTTTGAATTCAGCTGATTGCACATGTTTTATTAATATTTGTATAAATTAGTCGCTGTTTGTAACTCTGATAATGTTAGGTAGGGCTGCCTCTGTTTAGTTTTATCTTTTTTTGACTCGTATAATCCATGCCAATTTTCTTACTAAGCGTGTAAATGAGCTTTGTTTTTCTACTAGTTGCTGTAAAATGTTAATTTCTTATCCTTCTTTTTATTTCTGAGCTACTAAAAATTGCTTTTCCTCTTCGTTTGTTGTATATATATGGTTTGTTTTCGATATCTTGTTTATATGTAAGTAGCCAAGAGGGCCCTTGCCACCAAAGGGGGTGGTCCTTTAGTTGTGCTGTTGTTAAACCCCTGCTGGCGCAGTCTACTGGATTGTCTTCTGACTTCACAAAGCGCCAACAGGCAGGGGGCATAGTGATGATCGCTTGTTTGACCCTGTTCGCCACGAACAGCTTCCATCGTGCAGCGTCTCCGTGTAACCAGCCTAGTACAGCGGTTGAGTCACACCAACCAAAGATTTGTATGTTGTATGTACTTAGGCAGTTGACAACCTTGTTCATCAGTTTTGATAATAAAACCGCGGCATTTAATTCGAGCCTTGGTATAGTGATGGGCTTGTGATAGGTACTAGTCGGGTTTTAGCGGCAACTAACACCACATTGAATGATGATCCTTGTTTGTTCTGGCGCAGCCGAATGCTCTCTCCGACAAATCGCAGAAACCATGCAATTCGACTAGGCCTTTTTCTTTTGTTCCCAACCTTTCTTTCCATGCTAAGAAATTGTGCGATGGCCTTATTTTTGGACGACCCTAATTGTTTTTCATATCCTGGTTTGAGTGGGAGTCTGACCTCGTATCTACCATCACTGAGTCGCTTTGTTGTTTCCTCATAGTATTGTATACATTAAAGGTCTTCTGCCAATAAATTGGAATGTTCAGTAATGTCCTCTGTTTCCCAAAATGTTTCTATTTGCTCTATGTTGCTCAAAATTACATTGATTTGGTATGTTTTTGTACTTCCACACAAAATCCAGCCGAGCCGAGTCTGTTGGGCAATCGGCACAGATTGATCTTCTTCTCTGCATATTCCAAGTAATATAATGTTTGAATATATGTCAGCACCCAGAAGAAGATCCATGGTCTCCTTATGTTGAAGTCGGGGTCATCATCATCATCATCATCACAGCCCTTCACAAGTCCACTGCTGAACATAGGCCTCCCCCAAGTAATGCCACAAAGCACGGTCCTGAGCCACCTGCATCCATCGACTTCCTGCATATCTTACCAGGTCGTCACTCCATCTAGTGGGGGGTCGCCCTACACTACGCCTACCGGTACGAGGCTGCCACTCGAGAACCTTTCTTCCCCATCGGTTATCGGTTCTTCGAGCTATATGGCCGGCCCATTGCCACTTCAGCTTACTAATCCGTTGGGCTATGTCGGTCAATCTGGTTTTACTGCGGATATCCTCATTTCTGAGTCTATCACGCAGAGAAACTCCGAGCATAGCCCTCTCCATAGCTCGCTGAGCGACCTTGAGCGTCCTCATACGGCCAGCAGTGAAGGACCACGTCTCTGATCCGTAAGTCATCACTGGCAACACGCACTGGTTGTACACTTTAGTTTTCAGAGATTGAGGTATACCTGACGAGAAGATATGTCGTAATTTCCCGAACGCTGCCCAGCCGAGTTGAATCCGTCGATTGACCTCTCGGTCGAAGTTGGACTTACCTAGTCGGACTATTTGTCCCAGGTAAACGTACTCGTCAACAACTTCGAGCATAGTGCTCCCAACAACTACCGGCATAGGTGTGACATGGACATTAAACATAATCTTTGTTTTGTCCATGTTCATCTTAAGACCTATCCGTTGGGAGGCACTATTGAGGTCATTGAGCATAGTGCTTAAGTCCTCCAGCGATTCTGCCATAAGGACTATATCGTCGGCAAATCGAAGGTGAGTGATGTACTCGCCATTGATGTTAATACCGTATCCTTTCCAGTCCAGTAGCTTGAAAACGTCTTCCAAAGCAGCGGTGAAGAGTTTCGGGGATATAACGTCACCCTGTCTTACACCTCTCTGCAGTTGGATAGGTTTCGAGCTCTGGTTCTGTACTCGGATAGCCATCGTAGCCCTACTGTACAAACACTTCAGCACTTCAATATACCGACAGTCAACTTGGCACCGCTGAAGGGACTGCAGCACCGCCCAAATTTCGACGGAATCAAAGGCTTTCTCATAGTCCACATACGCCAGGCAAAGTGGCAAATTGTACTCTTCAGTCTTCTGTACAATCTGCCGCAGGGTATGTATGTGGTCTATGGTACTGAAGCCTTTTCGGAAACCGGCTTGTTCGGGAGGCTGGAAGTCGTCGAGTCTGCGTGCGAGACGATTCGTAATGACTCTCGAAAACAGCACGTAGACGCGGCTCAGAAGGGAAATCGGTCTGTAGTTCTTCAAGAGAGCGTTGTCGCCTTTCTTAAAGAACAAGACCACCGCACTTCTGCTCCACGCCTCTGGAGTAGTGCCACCATGGAGGACGGAATTGAAGAGCTTCTGAAGGACTTCAAGTACCGGTGTTCCACCCGCTTTCAGAAGCTCCGCTGTAATTCCATCCTCGCCTGGGGCCCTGCCGTTTTTAAGGTGCTGGAGAGCCATTCTAATCTCGCTTAGACTGACGTCCGGGATATCATCGGAATAGTGTCTGATAAGACTTGCTCTTGGATCGTTACTCACACTTGCGTGTGGCTCCAACGATGATGTGTACAGCTGCCCATAGACCTCTCAATCTCACTCAAAATCTCAGGTGTCCCGGAAACGATGCTGCCACACTCAGTCTTCAGCCTTGACAGTTGGCTCTTTCTGGCAGATAGATCTCTGGCAAAGACTTTGGAGCCCTGGTTCCGCTCGATCGCTTCTTTAATACGAGCAGTATTAAAGTTGCGTAAGTCTCGCCGCATGCATTTGGAGATCTGTCTGTTCAGTTGCCTGTATGCTGTCAAATCTGTTGACGATTGCAGCCTCATCTCCCGTCTAACAGCCATGAGATTAAGAGTGTGATCGGAGAGTTTTTGTGTTCTTCTGCGGCGGGTCTTGCAGAACTTAGCTCCGACCGCATGGACAGTTTCCACGAGCTTGTCATTCTTATCGTCCACTGCATTGCAATCTTGTAGGCACTGAAAGCGGTTGTGTAACTCGAGCTGAAAGTTTTCGGGATTTTGGATCAGAGCACGAGGGGGGACGGAGCGTTGACTTCATTAGACGAGACCTCTCCAACTTAACGTTTAGGTTCAGTGTGCCTCTAACCATTCGGTGATCGCTGCCAGTTTTCACCCTTGCGATCACTGAGACATCACTGAACAGTTGGCGTCTGGTCGTCATAATGAAGTCAATCTCATTTTTTGTCGAACCGTCGGGGCTCGACCAGGTCCACTTCCTGTGGGGCCGCTTCTGGAAGAAAGAGTTCATCATAAAGAGTCCCTCTTTCTCCATAAAGTCGGCCAGCTGCTGGCCCCTTCGGTTCCGTTGCCCTACTCCAAATTTCCCTAACTTCAGCTCACCGCTTTCTCTTGTGCCTAGTTTTGCGTTGAAGTCTCCCATCAACACCGTGTAGTGGGTTTTGGAGGAATGTATGGCTTTGGAAATATCCTCATACATTTCCTCCACCTCCTCATCGGAATGTGCCGACGTTGGTGCGTAAACCTGTATGATCTTCAGCGAATACCGTTTGGTGATTCTGAATATCAGGTACGCGACCCTCGTCGACACACTCTCAATCTGTACAACGTTGTTGACGAGAGACTTGTGGACGATAAATCCGACACCTCCTTGGGACAGATGGTCGCCCTCCCGGTGATAGAACAAGTTGCCGGATTCGAGAATCACCGTGTCCTCCCCCTCTCTTCGGACCTCGGATAATCCTATAATACTCCAGCGCAACTTGTCTATCTCTTCTTCCAGCTCCAGGATCTTCTCGTCAGTCCTCAGTGTGCGTGCGTTAAATGTTGCCAGGTCGAGTCGTCGTAGGTGGCAACCGAACCTCCACCGGAGATTCTTAGCACCCCCTGCCCCGCCGTTACCATGGTCGCCACCGTAGCCAGGAATAGCGGGGCCGCCGGGGACTGGGGGCCGTCTATTTGTGTAATTGTTCATGGGGGGTATATTGCCATAGTTGCCACGCTTGGCGAGCGGGTTGGCAACCGCAGTTTTTTTTGTCGTACAGTTGCTGTTATCAGGAAGATGCTGCTGCCCATCTCCTGCCTGTCTCCCTCTGTCGCCTCTTACGACACCCACGGGAAGATATGGGGTAGTGGATATTCTTAACCGCCACTACACGGCTAAGTCGGGGTCAGCTAGTTGTATATTGTTCAAGAATGACCACGAAGGTTTAGCAAACGTTGAATTTGGTAATTGTTTGATAAGATTTTGCATGATAAATACTGACGTGTCAAAGACGTAGTAGTCGTCCATTGATGAGCATGTTAAGTCAAGTACTCCTTTACAGCTACTAGGTTTAACACCAACTCCAAAAATGCTTTTGCTGTTTGCACCTTTACAGTTTCGTCTAGGAAGTGCTAGTCGCTGGGCTGCATTCTCAGATATTATCGAGACTTGTGAACCCTGATCAATAAGGGTGCGCATGATTTTATAAATACCATCTGCAGCCTGCACTTTGAGCATCACTGTCGCTAATAAAATTTCCGTCATATCGTTGTTTTGTTGAGTAACATTCGAGTTACTTGTGCTGACGCGATTATTTTCCGCTTCTGACGACATCGACGACTTGTTTTTGATATTCGCATTGTTTTGTGGCTTGTTTGAATATGGCCTGAAGGCGTCATGTAACAAGGTGTAATGATTATCGTTGCATTCACGACACCGCTTCTCGGAAATGCATGCTTTACCTTGGTGACTAAAAAGACAGTTTTTGCAAACATTTAATTTTGTTACTGTTTTGCGTCTTGTTTGAGGAGACATGTCCAAAAATTCTTAACAAATGAATAGTCCATGATCCTTACAGCAGATTGGGCATGTATATGTTATGAAATTCTTGTTTTTAGCAGCTTGTAAGTTAGGTGACACCTCACCGCTTGACGAGGTGTTGGATGGATGCTGGGTTGTTAGTCGATTAAATTTTTTGAGTTTTCTACTGTTTTGATTACTTGGAATGTGCAATTTTTGATGAGTGTTGTCTTGTTTTTTACGTCCAGACTCCATCGACGTAAATGTTTGTTCCAAAAACTCGAGAAAATCTTGTAATTTTGGCAGTTCCCGGGGTCATTTCAAAGATTGAACATAATCATGATGAGTTTCGTTATCGAGTTTTTGAGTCAACAGGTAAAGAATAATTGGATCCCAGGTGTATTGGTTTTTTACTGCATTTAAACATCCAGCGTAGTGTCGTGTATTTTCTTGATATTGGGGACGGAAGCTTGTTGTGAAACTGGCAGGCTCATTAGTAGATTCATATGAGAAGTGAATATAAGTTTCGGGTTATTGTATCGGTTGTTTAAAATGTTCCAACAGATAATATAATTATTCCGAGCTTATCTGTAGGTGTTGTATCAGCCGCTTCGCTCCTCCCCTGACTTTGCTCTTTGAGAATTGCATTTTTTGAGCACTGGAAAGGAAGCGATTGTTATGAATGCATTCCGTAAATAAATGGAACCCATTGATGATAATTCCCATTGAAGATAGGAATATCAAGCTTCGGTGTAGATTTTTCTTGATGAGCTGTCGACCATATTTTCTTGTTGATCGCCTTCTTTATGTCACTAAAGCTTCTCTCATGGATGGAAAATTCTTGTTCGTATGTTACGTTAGTACCCTCCAGCTCGCTGTCGAGCTCCCAATGGAGAGAGTCGATAGCGTTCCATCTAACACTCAAAGTCTTCAGAGCATCTGCTTATTCCCAGTTATCGGTTAACAAATCTAAGTCAATGTTTATTAAAGTTCGCTTAAAAGCTCTAAAGTTGCTACTTTGTTTACGCAACATCTCATCAAGCCTGCTGTTAGAACTGCGATCCACTTGTCGAGGTGTTACTGACGACGTGGACGGCGGGGGGTTGAAAGATGCTGGTTCAGTGATCGGAGTAGAGGGTTTTGATTTTTCTTCAGTTGGTAAGAAACTTTGTATGTAGTCTTTTGTTTTTGTATAAAAATCAAGAAAAAAAAAAACAAACGAACGGCATTGTGAGGACCGTATTGATTCTGCACAATATAGGAATCGTTTTCATCACACAACTCACGTACCTGGAGGTGAAGTTTATGAAATTCCTGCCAGTAAGTATCCAAAGTGTCCAGTCGTTTTTTGATATGAGCAGCAGTCCTACGGTCGGCGCCGTCCTTTTTGAAGTTACTGAGCAGCTGCTCCATACCAGAAACCATCTGTTCTTGATTTGCTTGTCAGTCTTCCATGGCGTTGTAGTTAAAAGGTATTCGATAGGTGTTAAGTGAACTGATTTATTCCTGTTTGCGATCCATGTGACGAGGAACTTCCAGCGATATATTATGCGGCTTCTCAATCTACCTGGTGAGATCCGCTTCTGGGAGGCCAGATACACCGATTCGCTATCACCGAAAAATCACACTCACACTTCACTTTCGAAGGACCAAAAAGATGTTGTGGTATTCAACACCTTTTGATGTTAATGCTAAAATATAATTGTTGAAATGTTTAAAAAATATTTATTGTTAAAATGTCGGTCTCCACTTTATAGGTACGTTATTGTCATAAATAATTGTTAAGAAGTCTTTTAAATGTCGATGGCGAATTGCATACATAAGGATAATAAATGAAGTTCTTAAAAATAAATGTCAAAATTTACAATAGGTTTTTTTTTTCATTACATGCGGTAGAAATAAAATAACCGACACAGCCCAACGGATTAGTAAGCTGAAAGCTGAAGGCTGAAGTGGCAATGAGCCGGACAAAAAGTTCGATGAACCCTTCTTTCTTTTTTAAAGAAGTATTCACGAGTGGCAGACTCGTACCCGTAGGCGAAGTGTAGGGCGGCCCACCATAAGATGGAGTTATGACCTGGTAAAACATGCAGTATGTCGATGCAAGTGGCTCAGGACCGTGCTTAGTGGTATTTCTTGGGAGAGGCCTATGTTCAAAAGAGGACTTGTGAAGGAAATGAATGAATGAATGAATATATTTACATAAAAAAAATAATGAAAAGAAAATTCTTATTTATATACTTTTGTCAATAAATTAACGTTAACAATAATCTCTGGAAGTCATAAAATAGCGATATTTTATTACGAAAAGCTTTGATTAATAGCGGTAATAATATTTCTAACTGCCTTGTTATACTGACCGAGATTTCCATCAGTACAACGCTTTTAAAGAATTATGTAGGCTTTACACGGAATCGTCAAACAACATCAACACCGAGCTTGTTGTAAGCGTGATGGGATTTGTAATATAGAGTAATATAATAACGTTTTATTTAAAAACGTACGAGCGATAACTTTTTCTCGTTTCCTTATTTAAGCTTTTTTTTGCACAAACTCACGTGCAATAATGCTGACATAGAAAAATTAGGGGATGAAAAATTAAACGAACTATTTATCAAAAATATAAAAACTATTATTATAATGTAGAAATATAAAAAAACTTGGAAGATTGTCACAAATATAAAATTAATATTATTTGAATCAAGGACAGCTTGTCAACAACTCTAGGAAAAACATATAAGCACAAAGTTATAAAAGAAAGAACGTGGTAGAGCCACGCTGCAGCTATATTATGGTTGTAGCACAAATGGGTCGGCTCGACCGGGGAAGGACCACGCTCTCACAGAATACCAGCGTAAAATAGCAGCTTAATACTGCTGTGTTTCGTGTGGTGAGTGTAGAAATCCGGAGACCCTTTTTTACTGGAAACGAGGCATTCCATGTTAGTCCTCAGGGGTGACAACGCATCTGCGTTTTGATTCTTAATTGTGGATAAATATAGATGTCTATGGGCGACAGCATCCACTTACCATCAGGTGGACTGAGTGGTCTTTTGTCACATATATATATATATATATATATATATATATATATATATATATATATGGTTTTAAAAGCTAGCTTCTTGCGTGAATCCTGAATACACAGATAGATAGACAAAACTTCTAAAAACCACTAATTTGGCTTCAGTACCTGGACTGGTTTTTTCAGCGACATACGACTTTTGTACACATTTACTATATGTAAAGATAAAAAAAACTATGAGAAGGACTGATGTCACAGAATAACAGTGTAAAATAGCAACTTAATGCTGCTGTGTTTCGTATGGTGAGTGTTGAGAACAGAAGGCCCTTTTTATTGGAAACGAGGCATTCCATCTTAGTCTTGAGGCGTGATATCGTATCTGCATTTTAATTCTAACTCGACGAAAGATGTAAATATCCATGGGGAACTGCATCCACTTACTATCAAGTGAACTGTGTGCTCCTTTGTCACCTTCTTTATATTAAAAAGTTTAAAGCTAAATGCTGTTACCAAATTATGAGACAATTCAAATATATTAAAGAAAAATAATGATAACAGTATAAATGTTATATTGAGCAATTTTTAACGGGAAAACATTTTATTTATAAGGGGAATCTCAGAAACGTCGAAACGATTTTTATTTTGCAAGTTACTTTTTTGTTACAAAGTTTAAACAAGAAATTCGTTTTACAGAACTCTTTTTACCTCTCCAAATACATTAAAGTTAAAGTTTGTGGGTAGAAGTTTAAAAGCCGCTAGGTGAAATATACCAAAATAATAATAAATTGGGGGATAAGTCGCTCGCGTCCGTAGGCTTTGACCACCTATTCCTAGGCCCACCCTACACGTGTCCCCCGGGTGGTGCTAAATGAGCGACAAGCCGATACCACAGACTCGGCTCCACGCCGTGGTAGCGGCGTAAAATATATTACCCCATATTTCGCACCATGAGGAACCATATAAAATAAATGGCCCTGAGTTCCCGGCGCCTCTTTAATGGGGCAGGGGTGCGAAGAATCTCCGTGAGGAAAACCGGCGACGAGGTTCGCCACCCGTCACGTTCTGTCTCCCGGAGAGGCGAAAAGTGGATTGCAGAGGCCCGTCTGGCTACAAAATAATATTATTATAGGTGACAAAACTTTTTTAACAATAAGCTTGTTATAAAAATATATTTTTTATTCCTGAATATTAATATTAAAATTCTATCACCATAATTATCGGTTTTTTATAAGATATGTCTAAAATTAACTCTCGAAAATAATAGCGATCTCTTAAAGGTGATGAAATAAGGCCGCAGAGAATAGATGGCGCACCGTCTCGCAATACCTTCACTCCCCTCTTCCCGCGGGCCCACCTACAGTGACCCGGGGATTGTGATTAGGAGATTAGAGAATCCACTTTCCTATGTGAACCTTTGGACGTCGTAAGAGTCGGATGAAGACGGGATAAATGTAACGGACGGTGGGCAGCAGCATCTTCCTGATAAAAACTTAATAATAATAATAATAAACTGCCCTAACCCTACTCAATCTTGATGATAATGATAACTTTGAGATAGTTATATATTCGACTTTAGAGATCACTATTATTGTAGAGAATTATTATATAATACGAATAATTCTTTTAAACAAATACCATAGTACGTACCTTACAAATACCTTTATAAGTTTTAGAACTCTTAGTATTTTACTAGTGTATTTATACAGGAGTACGGTACCAAGATTAAACTCGCTTCACGTTCACTTTAACTTATTTCGTTTTTAAAAAATTTTCTTCAAGGTATTTTCGTTAGTAATTTGTTTTAAATTGCGTTTTTCAAATAGTTCTTTCGGACAGGAGATCTGTTTAATATTGCCCACACGAATTAGAATATCAGACCTATGATATATTTATTAATGTATTACGTTCTTCTTTTTTATGGGCTCATAAAAGCCCTCTGCTGGTCATGGGCCTCTCTCGTGGCAAGGAGGACTTGTTTCATCACGATTGGC